CAGATGAATATTTTATCTAGAATGTTATTTTTGTTTCAGACGATACCTGTTGTGACAACTGACGTAGCATTTAAACAATGGCAGAAGGATATATCTAAATCTGAACAGCAAGGGGAAAAAACATGAGTTAAATATAAGGTATTACAAGAAGTGAAGGAAAAAGGAAATTTGGGCCTACCAGATTTTAAACTATATTTTGCATCCTGCTGTTTGATTTGAATGAAAAGGGGGTGTTGTTAAGAAATAGAAGGTTATTGGATTTAGAAGGTCACGATTTGAAATTTGAGTGGCATTCACATAAATGTAGACTTTAAAAGTCTATCTCAGGCAGGCTATTTTAGATTCTTCTTGAAAGCACATTTGTGACTTTCAGCCCAAGAAACAGTTTATAGAAGAGAAATAGCAAGTAAACATAAATAGTTAACTTATTACAATGTACTGTATTAGAATTTCTCTCAAGGAGATTATAAAATGAAATCAAAAGAATATTTGATAATGGAAGGATGTTCTTGTCAATGGTTTTCTTACGTACAGTTACCAGAAAAGTTTAAGGTGGATAAAAGACTATGATTTTGAAAAGACTAAGCAAGTTTGGAATAGAATTATATACTAATAATGAACAAGTTATTGCTAAAATGTATAAACATTTGCTGAAATATGAAAGAAGAACAAGTGAAAGAATGTATAATAAAATGGGTAAAAGATTGGCTCTAATATGCAGATAGATCAACGGGAAAATACGTGGTTGAAAGGATTAAAATTTACATTATGCTCTAGTACTAAAGAGAATGTTTATAAAATTATGTATCATAGGTATTTGTCACCAAAGAAATTGTCTAAAATATAAAATCTTTGCTGGAAATGTGAACATTATGAAGGGACATTTTATCATGCCTGGTGGACATGTAAAAATAAAAACCTTTAAAAATGGATACAAATAGATACATTAATTAATTCAGTTGGGTAATGAAACAAGCAAACAACCAAGTTCAGAGAGTACCAAGGACTCCATAAATGTTTATTTCTTAAATAGCAGGAGAATGGAAGTACATGTTCCTAAGGATGTTTTGTACAATCCAGGAGCTGCTTCAGAGAAAGCCCTTTTCTGCATATCATATAGTTAAACTCCTTGCAGAAGGATTATCTTCAACAGGGCTTGTCCTGTTGAGCTGAAAAACATGAACAGAACTATTTATGTTTTATTTTAATTCTTTTAAAAGTAAATCATAGCTTAGCATGGTGTACGTCATCAGTCAATATTATGCCTCAATGACTGCAATTGCTAGTTTATCATTGGTAGACGAATATTTTGTAGATTATTTTGTAGATTAATATTTTGTGCATTATGAATATGCTGGACAGATGTAGTGTCTGCTTTCTAGGAGATTAGTGAAACGCAGGTTCAGTTCTCACATTTTGTACTGTGTGCTTTGGCTTTGATCTAGGAAAGAAGAAGAATTGTTACAACTGATTCACCAAGAGAAGCAATAGGTAGAATACAGTGTGTGTTTGTTCATTGGCATATATAGCTATGTGATTTGACCATGAAATACCTTTTAGTCTATGAGTTTCTTTTACTTTTTTTTACTACCATTAAGATCTGAATGGAGCCTGAAGGCTCAGTGGTTAAAGATGCTGAGCTTGTCATTTGGAAATCAGTCACTACTTACTACAGAGATGTTTGTAAATCTCTTCTTCTTTAGGATTCTTGAGATAAGGCAAGAGGACAAATATAATTAATCAATAGCAAAATATATAATTAACAACATATAATAAATTAACAAAAATACACGGCCATGTTTTATCACTTTTTTGCAGAACTAACACTACCTAGTTATTGGAGACAAGACTGCCCATTGTGTGAATAGAGGATTCTAATGTTTCTTTCTCCTTATCATTCAGACTCCAATGAGTTTATGTACAATGAACGGTGCAGGAACTGGCTATGTCTAACAAAGAGAAGGACTAAAGGTCACATGATAGCAGTCTTCCAATATTTGAGGGGCTGTCATAGAGAGGAGGGGGTCAACCTATTCTCCAAAGCCCTTGAAGGCAGAACAAGAAGTAATGGATGGAAGCTTATCAAAGAGATAAGCTGTGGGTGCTCCATCACTGGAGGTTTTTCAGAAGAGATTGGACAGCCATTTGTCCAGAATGGTATACAGTCTCCTGCTTAAGCAGGGGGTAAGACTAGAACAGCTGTTCCCAACTTTGTGGCTTGGTAGCCTAGCTGGTGTGTGTGTATGAGAAGGGAACCAGGCTCCCACTTGTGTGAGTGGAGCTGTGCGTGCATGCGCACCGGTCTACCACTCATGTGGCCCAGTTTTGAATAGACCATTGTCATGGGGTTGGGGATCCCTGGTCTACAAGACATTCCAACTCAGTTATTCTGTATTCTATATTTTTCTGCTAGTGGAATTTCACTGGTGCAAAGGTAACACTATATCTGTGTAATTATTTCTTTTCCATTATCCCAAGGGCAGTTGGATTGGTTCTAAGACTTATCATTCCGCCTGATACAATTTAAGGAATTTATTTGGAGTATGTTAATAACTATGCACTGCTGGATGGTATGGAATCACAATATTTGGATTTTTTGAAACACAGTTGTCATAAGCTTGTCAAGCAAGTTGGGTGGCTCTGACTTTGTTTGGCCTGCTCATTCCCATAAATGCTGTAATAGTCAGAGCTATCCAGTTGGTTTAATTAAATCTCTTAAACTCCATTAAATGTAAGACATACATTTTAGACATACATTCACATTTATCAGGTCATATAGGTATGATCTTATGGAGAAAGCTGGCAATAAGCTAATGTTTTTAAAAAATATTAATATATCAAAGCAAAATGGATCTGAATATAATAGGGCTATGAAAATTCACGTAGGTAATTTCATAAGACTCCTACAGTCTCTGGCTGGTTATTATTTAAAATATCTGAGCCATCCTTCAGTTCAAAAATTCAAGCCTAGTTTATTGATTTGTTTATATATACATTTCTATACCATTCCATCCCAGGTCTTTGACTAGTTTAGCTAAGATAGAAAACATAATAAAAACAAGCAATAACTTTTATAATCATAATTATAATTAAAACAAGATAAAATGATGTACCTACAAAAGTTATGTATACCCCCATAATCCTAATCCTGCAGCCCAAACATTCCTAATATTCAGAAGGCCAATTAAATAAAATAAATAAAATAAATAATTTTATTTCTATACCGCCCTTCTCCCGAAGGACTCAGGGCGGTGTACAGCTTATTAAAAGCCTATTAAAATAATGTTTGTCACTGTTGTTGTTTTTTTAACTTAGCGATAAAGTGACTCCTGCCATGTTCCTTAGATCTGTCGTCGTACAAGAATCCAAAGTTTCTCTCTCAAAAAAGACTGCATATGACAAGGAGATTCTCCTTAAAGTAGACAGACTCTATGATACTCCAGAACCAAGCTTTGGAGGGCTTTATAGGTTAACACCAGCCCTGTGCACTATATTCATCAATCTGTTGGCACCACACATAAAACCAGTGTTATCTGACTGGCCAATTACATTCTGAACCAACAGATTTGGGGTGGTCTTTGGGTGGTCTTCAAAGACAGTACCATGTAGAGCATATTGAATAATAAACATAAAGTGATAAGTCAACTTATATCAGAGCTTTGCTTAGTCCTAAATGGAGTTTTGGTTTGCAAAGGCATTGGTAGAATTACAAAATAATTGATCTGCAATCTGAAAGAGATTGAGTGATCAGTGAGTATAATATTTATTTTCAAAACCTATTATTATTATTATCATCATCATCATCATCATCATCATCATCATCATCATCATCATCCATCATGGTATATTTTTGCCATTAGCATGCCTGAAATATCTAAAAAAGAGTAACATTGCTCAGTTATACCTCCTTATACAAAATGGTTCCAAAAGTAACCAAGATAAGATAAAGCTACCAAGGATGTAATAATATTGATGGGCAATAGTCTAGTGGCTGAAATCTCTTTTTCTTGAAGCTTAGTTATCGTCTAGTTTATTTTCTTCCTTGTAGTATATATCATTATCTTTTCCATCAATGCTTAATATGTATAGTTCAGGATATCGAGTCTATTAAAAGTCTTCCTTATACCTGCTCATGGTCTCCTCCACTGACATTAAAAGTGCCTGATGGCCCTGAAACATATCCTGAAGAATACATTTATTCCAACAGAAAATGGAGAAACATCACAATCTGCAAATGAATTAGTGACACCTTTCCAAAAGAGAGATGAGATCAGCATTTGGCATGTATCCTGAGTTTGGGGGTTGCCTGGCTACTGGTTCAAGTAATTCTGCACCACACATGAGGGAAAAAGGAAGAGAAAAGGAGAGAGAGAGAGAGAGAGACGTTCTGAAAGTGGTTGGTTTCTTTTCAGGGCTGAGCGTTCAATCATGCTTTTCCATCCGTAGAGTTTTCACATAGTTCAGAAGCTTTTGTAATTAAGAGAAACTGTGAACTGAATGACCCCCTATGTGAATGATTTTTTTTAAAGCTGTGCTTTCTTTAAAGTAATGAATATTACCTGGGAATCAAAAAGCATCCAGAGGGAATTTTGGTGGAATTGTACTATTGTTCTGAAAATAATTCTTTCAAAAGCATTAAGCGTGCAGTGTTACCTAATTCATCTGCGTGTACAGCTGAAAATTTGCTACTGGGCTTCAACCTGCTGATTTCTAAATTAGCACATTGTTGAAGAAGTCCTGCATAGTTTTATTCTCCTTTGCTATTTCCTAACTGGAAATTCAGTGTTCGTATCCTGTAATTATCCCAATATATATATATATATATATATATATATATATATATATAGCTTCAGATGAGGTGTATTGAAGCGGTTGTGCATTTAGTTCTTTGACTGTATCACCTACAGATCAGGAACTTTGATTGATCTGCTGTACTCCCAACCTCCTTGCTCTCCTACCTGGGAGCAAGGATGGGCGGGAGGTTCCTTTCTTCTTTCCAGAAGCAAAAGGGGTTGGAATGCCAATCAAACTGACAGTGTCCCAAGGGCAGCCAGTGAAGCTGAACTGCAGCCTGGAGGGAATGGAAGAACCAGAGATGCTGTGGATCAAGGATGGAGCTGTGGTGCAGGGTATAGACCAGGTGTACATTCCAGTAAATGAAGAACACTGGATAGGCTTCCTCAGGTAAGAATGACATATAGAACAGGATAGGCTAGATCAATGTATGATGAATGTGAATATTAAAGATTAGTTTATTTTGCCCTTTTCTGTGGAACTTTGTGGGGAGGGAGGGCATTTGTGATTCTCTTGTCCTCCCTTATTTATTTTCAAAGTGGCCCCATGAAATGATTTAGGTTGAGCCAAAGGAACCGGGCAAAGTATCTGACTGGGCAATTTGTTTCCTGGATTTATTCTTTATTTGCTTAATATCTCCTGAATCTAAACCAGTGTTTCTCAACCACTGTAACTCTTAAGATAGGAGGACTTTCCCATCCAGTATGGAATTCTGGAAGCTGAAGTCCGCACATCTTGAAGTTGCTGAGGTTGAGAAACACGGATCTAAGCTTTTCATGCTTACTAGTTCTTTCCCCATTTTTGTTGCTAATGGTTTATAATATTTGTACAAACGGGTCAGTGGTGGGATTCAGCCGGTTCTCTCCGGATTGTGCGAACCGGTAGTGGCAACTGTGGGAGGCTCTGCCCACCCGCCTGGACATAATGCGTGATTACTGTGCATGCGTAGAAGGGTGTGCAGATGCGCAGAGGTGGCACATGCACTCACATTTGCAAACCGGTAGGGAAGGTAAGCGAATCCCACCTCTGATACCAGTAATACTGAAATGCCTAAGGCACTCTATGTTTGTTATTTAGTAGCAATGCTTATAACAAATCCTAAACTTGCTGAACAAGTTCAATATAATTGCCCCCCCCCCTTTCTCCCATAGTACACCTGAACCTGACGGAGAATGATTTGCTGTAGGCAAAAGTGGGCAGCTTTTTAGGGATTGCATTTTGGAGGGACAAAACTACCGTAAAGTGGGGTGAGAAGGCTAAGTGGATGGATTTTCAATTTTTTCCTTTGTTGTAGGAGAGGAAAGCCTCTTTGTTTTTTGTTAGTTTGTTAAGCTTATTTTAGGAGATTTGTGCCTGTAGCAAAATAATGGTAAATGGTGTTACTGTTCTTCAAAATTATGGTAGAGGGACTCCAGGGACATACTGGGGCATCCATGAGAAGGGGAGATATCAAAAGTCAAGATGATAGCTACAACCCACAGAGCTTTGATTGCATGGCTGTTACTGCCATTATGACTTTTACAAGACACATACACACAACCCTAACCCTAACCCAGGGGTGAAATGCTCCCGGTTCGGACCGACTCGGGCAAATAGGTAGCAATGGCGGCGGGCAATTCAGAGAACCGGTAGCAAAAATCCCTGTCCCCGCCCCCCATGCCCAGCTGAGACGAGCGATCATCAGAGGCTTTTTTCTTTTAAATGCCTCTGACGAGCCAAGCTCTGACAATCCCAGCTGAGTTGCCTCCCGATCAGGCAACTCAGCTTGGATCCTCAGTGCCATTTAAAAGAAAAAAACTTTTTAAAAAACCCTCTGACGATCAGGCAACTCAGCTGGGATCGTCAGAGCCTTTTTTACATGTAAAAAATGATTTTAAAAGTAAAAAAAAATTGGCCACGCCCACCCAGTCACATTACCCCCCGCCCCACCCCACCAAGCCATGCCCACAGAAGTGGTAGTAACAAATGTTAGATTTCACCACTGCCCTAACCCTAACCCTTGGAGCCACAAAAAGGGAGCTTTTTGAGATTTTATTCATCTCTGTGGCCTAAGGAAAGCTATTTTTGCAACCTGGTCTTAAAAAGCCCATTTTAAATATGTCCAACTATACATCCAACTGGTAAAGCTGCATGGTACCATCTCTCTCTCAACCACACTGTCCTTTTCTTTTCTGTACCACATATCCTTTCATTTATTAGAATTTCTTGATGGCACTTGCAGGAATTTAAGAAAGGAAGAAACAAAAATGTTTGGATAAGGTAGAAGGTTTGGTGGGTGCCAAACAATTTATTTGGTAGCACATTTGTGCCTGTTTATAACCCAGTGGTGAAATTCAAATTTTTTTACTACCGGTTCTGTGGGCGTAGCTTGGTGGGCATGGTGTGGCTTGGTGGGTATGGCTTGGTGGGTGTGGCAGGGGAAGGATACTGCAAAATATCCATTCCCATCCCACTCTGGGGCCAGCCAGGGGTGGTATTTGCCGGTTCTCCGAACTACTCAAAATTTCTGCTACCAGTTCTCCAGAACCTGTGAGAACTTGCTGGATTTCACCCCTGTTATAACCTATTGCAATTACTGGAAGCAGAATATATTTTGCAAATACCTGAAAATAAAGATAAAGGTGGATATATAGATGCAATTTTCTTGGCAACAGTAGAAATGCAGCTTTGCATGCCCTTCTCTGGGGCTTTTTAATTTCCCAGTTTGACTAAACACAGCAGGATTCATACATAAAATAAGGGGTCATTTTTATAAATAACAGAGAGGCAGAATATTCCAATGCAAGAATGCAAATTGACATTGAATTCTCCATTCCCAACCTCTTAGCTTTACTAGCTAAGCAATCCAGAAAAAAAAAGTTCATTTCCTTCCATCTCTAAGATTGGCATGAAAGAGAACTAGCAGCTGATATTGTATTAGTCCCCACAGTTTTCTGCTGAATCTGTAGTTGTGTCACTTTATCCAGAGACAGCTTCCTCTCCTCTCATGATTTTTGTTTCCAGTATTGTTAATGATAGCTTTCGAAGCTAAAGAAAGCTCTATACTCTTTTTTTTACATATTTGTTCTCATAAGCTCTGCAACAAAACTAGATTGTTAGTTTCTGAGATATAATTAAACATTTCCTTGACATTGTTTCCCCCCCCCTTCACATTCTTTTCTCCTTGACTTTGATTAAAAGGAGAGAATTTAATTCAGCCTGTACTTCCTAGATCAAATCTGGGTTCTGCTGAGAGAAGAAGATGTGTCATACAAACCAATCCTTAGTCATCTCCCACAAGTAATGTTCCAAAGTATTTACTCCATCATTTACTTTAAGCCAAGCATGCAATGCTTCAGTCAGTTGATTATAAGACGTAGAAAAAATGCTTATTGTGCTTCTGTGTATGTCTATTAAAAAAGTTGAACCCGTTTTCATGGTGCTTTTGCCAGACGTACTTGAGAAGAAGCTATCTGCAAATAACCCCTTCGAGGCCTTCTGAATAAATAGTTTCTGGAGATTTGTAAATTGTCAGCAGAGCCCTTGAAATTATATTGCGTTTCTGTAATGAAATTGATATCTCAGTGTTTGCAGGAAATTAATATCTCAGTGTTCTACAGCGACAAGCGTTAATGTTTGCACCTCAGGCAATCCTAATGAAAGTCTGCATTGGAGGCTTCAGGTTATGTTGGTTGAATAATACTGTATGGAAGGAGAAGTCAATTTTGGTGGACAGGTCAGGGTAGATAGCAAATTAACAGGAAAATCAGAGAAACCTAAATATGGAAGTAGATTTCCCATCTTCATGTCCAGAATATGGTTTAGTTATCACAAAGCTGAACACTGTCACTAGCTGAAACTTTGATAATTTTAAAAACTAGTGATGAGTGGTGGATAAGGCATTGAACTAGGGCTGGGGAGATTCAGATCCAAATCCCTCCTCAATCATGGAAATTCTGGCAGTTTTTTGGACCACTCCAGGGTGAAATGCTACCGGTTTGGGCGAACTGGTAATAAAAAAATGCTCCTGGTTTGGGCAAACGGTATTTCCAACTATCAGCTGTGCCGCGCGATTTATATTTTCTAGAAAGCAGGAAATCTAAATCACACCGCACAGCTGTTCCCCCCCTGCTGTTCTACTTACCTTTGCAGACTCAGGAAAGGCTTCTTAATCCTCCTTTTTCAGTGCTGTGAGGTAGCGCCTGCGGTGCGCCTGCGGTGCGCATGCGCACGAAGCGCACATTTGGCACGCGAAGCAAACTGGTAGCGAAGAAAACCAGTAGCAGACTTCACAGCATTTCACCCCTAGACCACTCACTTTCTCTTGGTTCAGCCTACTTTACTGGGTTATTGTGGCAGGGGTAAAATGAAGGCAGCGCCCCATAGAAATCAACTTGACCTCCTAGAGAAAAGGTGATATATATTACCATGTGAATTAATAGCTGGTGGGTAGAATATCTCTCTTGGATCAGGGTTTTAAAGTGTCTCCCCTAATACCATAGCTTCAACAACAAATGGAAGGGATGCCAGTGAAGCATTTCCCAAATATCGTTATTATTTACCTGACATCTGAGGCAAGCATATAAATCACAGTATTTGCATGATTACATCATCATGCATGCTTCATCATTTATTGCCTTGCCTCACCCGCCTTACCTCTCCTGTGGGCATCCATGGCTGTACCACATCCCAGTGAAATGAGTTATACTCCCAAAGGCATTATAATATTTCTCTTTCTTCCTGATAAGAAAATGATTAGTTTGTTAGGAGGCTTATTAAATTTGAGCTATGCTGAGTAAGGTCAAAAAAATCACAGATCCTTAAGTAATTTCTTTTATGAAGGAACATTTGCTCTGTCCTCTTCACTCTTGTAAAACAAACACATTTGCTCTCTCTGCATATTTCCGAACTTCAGGTTTAGGGCTGGATAGCTTGGCAGCATCAGACTTCCTGGAACCAGTGAATGATTTAACTCTCTCAAAATCTTCCAACTGGAATTGCACAGTTAATTCATGTGGGTAGTAATCTTAGATTATTACTTATTTTCCATTGGTGCCAATTTTTTCTAAACCCTTTTGAAGAAAAAAAAAAAACCTTCCTTCCACTTCATTCATTGCAAAAACATTCAGTGTTTTTGTTTCTAGAGAAATTTTCCCCAACCAATGTCCTCCAGATGTTTTGGGATCCCATAATTTCTGGCCAGCATAGTCAACGCTTGGAAGCTGGGTTAGGGAAGACTGTTCTACAACATAGTTCTTGCTTCCTGACCTATTCACAGAAACATTTTAGGTGAAACCCAGAGGTGGGATTCACTTACCTTCCCTACCGGTTCGCAAATGTGAGCAGAGCATACAGCCTTCTGTGCATGCGCAGTAGTCGCGCATTACATCCGGGCGGGTGGTGGAGCCTCCCACAGTCACCGCTACCAGTTCACATGATCTGGACAGAACCGGCTGAATCCCACCACTAGTGAAATTACCTGAAGGGGAACCTGTTTGTTTGTTTGTTGCCCATCTCAGCCACAAGGTGACTCTGGGCAGTTTACAATGTTATAGGATCAGTTCAATGACAATAAATATATCTTGTTTGCAAAATGATCCCAAGTTTAACCCATGGCAATTTTAATCTAGATGGCTAGTCTGGGAAGGTCTTCCAGGTAGAATCTGCTAGTCAGAGGAGGTAGTAATTGACTAGATTTCATTTTGAGATCCAGTTTAGTGTAGTAGCTAAGACTTCAGACTAGAAACTAGCAACTAGGAGACCATGAGTTCTAGTCTTGTCTTAGCCAAGTGGATGATCTTGGGCCAATCACTTTCTCACAGTTCTAGTAATCAAGCAATGACAAACTACTTCTGAAATTTTGCCAAGAAAACTACAAGGCCTAGGCTGAACCATTGCCAAAAGTCAAAACTGACACGAAGGCACACACATAACAAAATGTTTCATTTATTTCATTGATGCAGTTCCCTTTCCTCCTTTTTAAAATGTTCAGGGTGAGGAAAACAATAACACTAAAAAGACTACACTATTCAACTTGTGACGAATTAAAAATTTCTGAAAAAACAAAAGAATTGAGATTTTTTTTTACATCCACACACGTTTGTTCATATACATTGTTATTTACCATTTTATATTCCCCTTTGAACTTTATAGCTTGAAGTCTGTAGATCGGACAGATTCTGGAAAATATTGGTGCCAAGTGGAGACCAATGGGAAGAAAGAGGAATCACAGCACGTATGGCTTATTGTGGAAGGTAAGGGGTCATTCTGCTGACTTCTGTCTAGGGCAGTTGTGATTACTGTAAACTGGGAGATGAGGTTGCCTTGACTGATGTTAGCGCATTTCCAGGGTCTGTCAACTATGACCAAAACAAAAATACTCTCATAATGAGCCAATAAAGATCCAAGTGGTGGAAGGGAGTAGCTATAGGCTATTACATAATTTTTGCAATCTTTGGCAGTACAGGATGTGGAGCATGTCCAGTGCTGTTTCCAGACTTGCATTTGAAAATGCGTATAGGAAATTGCTAAAATGTGGCTGTCCATCTATGTCTTCACAATAGAATAATGATATGAGTATGTTGGTGATCGTATCAATTGTGGAGGAAGGTCCATATAATTTTCAAAGGCACTGATTTGCCGCTTTTGAGTGAGGAGAGGTTGATGTCCTTCTCTACTTTAGTTCTTAGATATATGTTATGAAAATAGGGGAAAAGGGAGATCATATATTATTGCCTGTGGCATTGATTTCAAATCTAGGGATTAGCTTTGTTAGGAAATTCCAAAGGGTCCCAGTCAATTACAGAGAAATGTTAATCAGATTAAGGAGAGGCAGGAGACTGGTTAAACACAAGCTAGGGCTGTGTTCAAAGGTCAACAGCTGTAATCAGGCAGAAGTTGGAGTCCAGTATTAGATTTGGTAGATCATAATCAAAGAGACAGAGGATGAGATTTAGCAGAAAACTGGGCTGGAGGATTAATACTAGATAAAATCAGACAAGCTAAAACTAAGGAAAAAATGGTTCTTTGGAATAGAGAGTTCTTATAAGTAAATGCTGCAGTCTGTTTGGCTGGCTCAAGAACCAGAGGACTGGTGACACAGGAGGGAGATTGTCTGCTGGAAGCTCTGATTAAATCTCTCTCATGGTTTCTTACAGCACATTAAATTTTAATGGTTGTAGGGTTTTTTTTTTCCTCCTGATATCACTGCTTAGATTTTAAAATAATCTGTATTTTGATATTTGGTGAATGTAATAGGATCTTAGCTGCTTTTTAATGCACCCGTGCTTTTAACTGTGGTGAAACTGTGTGGGAGTAGCATATAGGATTTTATTCCTTCATTCCTTCTGTTTAGATGGGTATTTGGCAGTTTATGCAGATTGGATGGAGGACATATTAGAGAGCCTTTGGCCTGGCAACTATACATCTGTGAAGTCTAAAAGTTACATGATTCATAAAGGATGGGTGGCTTCCTTTAGCTTACCTTGGGAGGATCTGTATGGGCTATAATTATGGCCCTGGATCCGACCACGTTATCAGTGTCAGCTTGTATAATAACTGGAAAGGATTCTGCGGCAGGGCTACATTCTAATGCAGCAAGCAATGCTTGCTTTCTGACTCATGGCTGAATCAGAGTCCCAGCATGGGCTCAGAGTACCATGCTCTTTAGATATTTTTATTTTTTTTGGCACAAAAATACTTGCAATACTGTTCCCCCCCCCCCCCATCCTTCTTCTGAAAGAAATAATGAGATTTTCAGTGGCAGTAAGCAGATAGAAATGATACAGGAGGGTTGCATGAGCTGTGTCAGCCACACTGGGAACAAGGAAGCCTCTGCTTTTCTTGTTTTCTCTACTATCTTGTGGAGTTAAAAGAAAGGGAGGGGGAGAGAGAGGCTAAGTGTCATTTTAAGAAAAATGAGATCACTGTAGAAACTGATAATAGAGAATCTAGGTAAGAAAAATTGGGTGTTTGAATTTCATCAGGATATATCAAGGACGGACACACACACAGAGATACATACACCCTGATGCCAACTAAGCTCATCTTTGTAAAATTAAAGCAGCTAGGCTTACCCAGTCATACCCTGAGCTACTCCTCCTCCAAACATCCTCTCTTTAGCATATTCTCTATCTTCCTTCTCCTTTCCAAGTGTAAAAAGGAAATAGTTGTCTTTAGTGTCAGAAGGGAAAGAGCCTTGGTAGTACTAGGGTTTAAGGCACCCTGTTATTAAGCTGCTTAAGACCAGCTGCCTGCAATTACTGCAGGGTTCGAATCTCGCCAAGGCTCAAGGTTGACTCAGCCTTCCATCCTTTCTAAGGTAGGTGAAATGAGGACCCAGTTTGTGGGGGCAATAAGCTGACTTTGTATAAATATACAAAAGGATGAAGGCTATTGCTGAGCACATTGTAAGCCGCCCTGAGTCTTCGGAGAAGGGCGGCATATAAATCAAATTTAAAAAAAAAAAAAAAAAGGAGAAGTCTGACTATAGATGTCAGCTCTTAAAGGTAGACCAGCCTAAGAAACCAATGTTATGCATGCCAAGACTCTTTTATGTAGGTATATGGTAGTGGCATTTTGCAAGTCTCAATTCGCTTACCCCTTCCCTCCCTTTATTTTCATGAGAACTAGGAAGGATCTTGTCTGAGATGTTTTCTCAGGTTACATTTCTATTCTTACATATATATAGAAAATAGAATTTCCCCCCCAGAAAATTGTACGGCTAAATGTTTCTGTTGACATAACTTAAACTCTGAAGGTCAAACAGTATTGCTTTTACTTTACTAAAACAAAAAATATCAAGTTTAAAGCCAACAGAGCCAAAGAGCTATTTGATTTGGATTTTGAGCAACTGTTTATTTAAGAACGAAAACAAAACAAGCTGTCAATTAAAATTGTTACTCAATACTTATGTCAATCTTGTGAGTTATTTAATATCTGAAGGAATATCATTAAGTCGTCTTATGGCAGATGTGTGTCCTAAAATACTATTCCAACTTCTAAAAATGAAAAGCAGCCCCAGGAGAACACTAGAGTAGTGCAGGAACTTCCCTAGCTTTGAACCAAATAGATTATACATAGCAGATTAGGAGAACTCTCTCAAAACGAGAACAGTCCCATTGTATTTCTTAACATTCTTTCAATCCTTCAGGATATTTTCACAGTCCTAGTTTACCTCAGCCATTGTTTTTCTGGCCAGATAGCCTCATCTCTAAACAAAGCACAAATTTTTCAGGAGGGATCAGGAGTTATAGTTGGGAATATGAAGGATACTTGAATCAGATACTTTGCTTTACAGCTTGCAGGCTTTTCATTTCATATATTTATTTAGAAGTAACCTAAGTGAAATAAAAATCAAGGAAGCTTGCAGTCTGGTGGGCACTGGAAAGGTGATGGTGGAATAATGGTGTACTTGAGCAAAGTTTGAGGATCTAGGACATTTGTGAGAATGGATGCAGACAACATATAATGTTCTGTGAAAATGTCCTTGAAAGACAGGAGGAGGAGGAGGAGGAGGAGGAATCACAGATGAGGCAACAGTCAGAGAAGAGGCAGCTGAGCCTGCAGAAAGAATGGGGGCGTGGCCAATGTCTCAAAAGGGATCCTCCTTAGTTTCTTGAACTGCATTGTAAACGCAAGCAGAGAGATAATACCTAATACATTCAAACTTGCAAGATTCAATTACTGTACTTATGGTTGGTGATTCTAGTCTGGACTTTGAAAGAGCTGACCCAGCTCCTTTGACTGCCTTTTTCCTCTGAAAATATCAGTGGAACTGGGATTAGATTAGAATGGAAGAACAGTGAAAGGAAAATCAGTGTTCATACTTGCAACCTTTTACAGCTGAATTTCATGTCATGTCATGTCGTTTAAACAGCATATGAATCTGTGACATCTGTTTTTTCCTCCCCCCCCCAATACAGTTCAGAGCTACATTAACAGTTCTGTGCTAAATCTTAATTTGTTGAACTACTGCATTGTTTATTGAATAAACAGTAATTACTGATGTGATATCAAACACTAAGCCATATACCATGATTTTCTTTTCTTCCATTCAATGCTTAGTTATTGCCTGGACAAGTTTCTTCTGTTTTCTTGGCAAGGTTTTTCAGGAGCAATTTTCCATTGCTTCCTTCCTAAGGCTGAGAGAAAGTGACTATCACTAGCCCAAGGTCAACATGATATACCAACATAATAAATGGCTTCACATTTACATACTATTAAATGTGTCTAAGGGTAAACAATGAAACATAGTCCTCAAAAGCAGGAAAATAGCTGCCTTTGTGTTAAGCCAAAATAAAAAAAAAACCATGTTCTGGTTTAGCATATTATGTGAGGCAAGCTTGTGTTAATTTTACCAAGCTTCATATAATATATTTGCACCAGATCTTAGAATTGACACTTGGTGAATTTCTTGTTGAGAAGTGGACAGATCAGGGAGTTCATGACTCATAACTCAGATACTTTCCCCCTATGTGTTAGTCCTCTCATAATTAAAAAAATAGAAGGATGAGACCTAATTAGATGATTAGAAAGTTTGTTTGGGAGGTGATCACAGTCTTTCTTTATGCCCACAGCCATAAAGAAAATTGGATGATTAAACCCAAAATATTAAAGAGCTTGAATGAACCCTGAAGCTGTGACGATGGTCAATCTGTGTTATATCATTAGAATGAAGTAATTAACTTATTAACATTAGGTTTTTTAAAATATTATTTTTAAATCTTTTCAGGTGTTTATAACATGAAAAAGAATTTGGCCCAGGATATAATTTTTTTTGCTGGGAAACACAAAATTGAATGTTTTGGGGTCCTACAGATCAAATGTGTTCATTTAAAGCATGGATGGTTTACTAATGTGCTGACTTCAGCTGCCACTGATTTCCAGGTATTAAATTAAAAGTGAATTTAGTGGCTTAAAAATTAGAAAAAAAGAGAGAAGTGGGTAAGGTATGAGGAAAGAAACTTTTTGGGTGTGATGTTTTTCTCTTGATGCAGATGCACCCAGATTCATCTTGCTTAACCTATTGTTTAGATTTGCTTTTCAAGCCCTGATATTCATGCTACCTTATAGTACTTGATGATAGGGACTTTTTCATTGGCCATGGAGTAGTTCCTGTTCTAATCAGTTCTGAGGAAGGTCATGTTGTCCAGTTGTGTTTATCCAGGAGATTTGGACTTTGCCATATCCTTCTGAATCTTACTCTATATAGTTCAGTGAACATTGAGTGGTACATTGAGATCAATCAAGAAAATTCATCTCTGGTTTAGAATCATGTCCACAAAATATTGTAAGCAATTTATATAGTTGAAAAAAGCTGTGTCAACTTGTTTTTAGATATCACTTAGAAAATGTTTAAAGGATTGGGATATTTGTTTAAGATCAGGCAGCTAATCAGAGGTCAAATGACTTGAAAATAAGAATGAACATTCCTGCATAGTTAGGAAACTGTTGGGGCTTATTTTTCTTTATCTGATAGTGTTGCCATTGTGTAAATATCAATTTCTGATATAATCCTATCAGAGTTAAATATCAGTGATTTCCAGAAGTTTAGATTATGTATTCTTCCCACAAAAATTGTTAAACATAGGCGGTTTGCCCAAAATTATTATCTTCAAATGCATATAAGTGGTTAGAATTTAAAATAAATCCAAACGTATTCAAAACGTCAAGAAAGTATATGTTAATAAGTTACTTACATAATTTCTGGGAGCATCAGTTATGGATAAAAAACTATTTGAAAATAAACTTAAAGAGTATATAGAAGACAAACATGAAAAGCTGGGTGGCCAACCATTTATATCTAAGTGATTTGAAACGAGAAGCTGTGTTTTTTCTATAAAAGCTACATTTTTCTCAAAGCTATTTTGAAAAAAAAAAAATTAAACTTTGAAATACATGTTAAATACATTTTCAGGTATTTGGTGAGTATGAAATGTTTGGATTGGTGGAAAATTTTATATTTGTCATTGAAACATATTTTTAATCTTCTCTCAGGCATTCACAATAAATGTAGTTTTATTATGAATATATCAACATTGGTACCATTTCTCCCCTTCAGTTATCAAGAGTCATTTAGGATTAATTAGCTACTTGACCAGGGGTGTCAAACTTGATTTCATTGAGGGTTGCATCAGGGTTGTGTTTGACCTCGGGGGGCCAGGGTGGGTATGGCCAGCTCGACGTTACTTGTATCGGGGGTGCCTGTGGTGGCCTGAGCGCTCTGCTAGTGAAAATGGGTTCCCGAGCTCCGTTTTCGGCTGCCATGTCCTCCTGCAACCCTCTGCCAGTGAAAACAGAGCTTGGGAAAGCCACGTTGGCCTCCTGCAACCCTCTGTTTTAACTGGCAGAGGTTTGCAGGAGGCTGTGGCAGCCGAAAACGGAGCTCGGGAGCCTGTTTTCACTGGCAGAAACATTGCAGGCCAGTCCGCTGTTTTTTCCAGGGTGGCCCCACGGGCCAGATCTAAATACCCCGCAGGCTAGATCCGGGCCCCAGACCTTGACACCCCTGGCATAAACTAAGACATCAAGAAAAGCACTATAAGGCAAACATTTATTTGTTTTCCTTTGCTGTAGATTTTATTATTTTTTTGGTTAGTTTAGAATAAGGGCCAGCTATATCTCTGAATACATTTTTTTTATATGTAGCCAAAGAAAGGTATTCAGAGTCAGAATACAAAATAGGAGTATAACTTCTGACAGTTTCTAAACTTAACACATGTTATTTTGGTGCTTTTAATATGCATGCTTCTAATTATGTTGGTATCTTTTAATTATTTCTCAGATATGCATCTAGGCTCATAGTAAAATGGTTTCGTTGAATAATGCTTATCATACAGTTTACACAACAAAAAAGAAAAAACTAATCCTTCATCAGCAAACCATATTTATTTGATCCCCTTTCTATCAAAAACAGTTGAAATTTCTCTTTGAATTATCTGAAAGAAGGATTAGATAGTAAAATCCACTCTGTGCTCCATTTTCCTATCAATAGGTCACATTCCAGATTTTCCAGTCAATAGGTCACATTCCAGATTTTCAAGAAAGGCTAGGATAGTTTCAAAAATTACCTGGCAGTGTATCAAAATAATTATTCCTTTCTTTCTCCCATTCAATGATCAACTTATCCCTTCAGTAACAAAATATACAAAGACACATTTGATCTTGCAAATGACAGTGGAGTCTTCTTTTTATAGAGAAAGTGACAAAAATGGCCACAAATATCAAAATATATTCTGTGAGAGCAAGAGATATTAAGTGTTTTGTTAAATATAAACTGATAAGAAAGAATTAAATGCATCTGTTTCAGTCCATAAAATACAAACGTCTTCCATTTTATTCTTCAAGGTGTTCCCTATTTCACTGTTGAGCCAAAAGACCAGTCAGTCATCCCTGGTAGGCCTTTCCAGATGGCCTGTGCTGCAATAGGACCACCTGAGCCAGTGACAATTATTTGGTGGATGGGTGATTCCAGGCTTGGACATCCAGATATCTCTCCCTCCACTCTAAATGTGTCAGGTAAGGTTTCATCCTGTGATAAATAAAAACTATTCAGAAAGGAATAGGGTGGCTAATAGGGCAAAGGTATAAACAACACTAATACACAGTTTCTGACACAATGTAAAATTGTATCTCAAGTGTGTTAAAAAAGAGAAAAAACAAATGAGAACCCAGTATAGAACTGAATTCACCAAAGACAACAGGATTTCTAAAAATTTCTGAGTGGCAAGTTAGATAATTCAAAAACAAAGACACATTTCTCTCTCCCCCCCATCCCAGTATTTTGTTGGAAGATGTTTTTATTTTCAAAATTGTTTATTGTTTGTAATGACTTGTATGAATGTTTCTATTTTCTATCAAATATCAAAAGCCTGTTATGTGAACCAGTTTGTAGTAGATGAAAGAAAACACAGTTGAATCTACAGCTAGGGAGATTTAAACGATTACCACCTAGAACTTTGAGATTTTCAAAACAAATTTAAAGATATATCTGTAGTGAATATTTTTCCTATGTTTAGGAGCAAATAAAAGACATTCTAGATTTAAGACAAAATGGGAGACCTGCAAAGGAGAATTTCCTGTTGATATTTATCTTAAAACTGAAAGGAAATATTGCTTCCTCAAACAGGTATATTATTTGCTTGGAAAGCCCTTAACGAAGCCTTAACATGCCCTGTTTCATTTAATGCCTGTTCTGCACAAACACTAAGGAGGAAGTGAAAGGATCAGATGAATTTGCTAAAACCTTGTAAAAAGTTATAGTTCCTTAGGCATGCAAGAACAAAGGTGTATAATAAGGAAGGGAAAGAAGCCTGGCATCAGCAGGTAAGAGCACAGAAATGCTAAAAGAAAGTAATAATAGACCAGGAAGAAAGTGGGGTGGGAAGAGGCAATGTTTTCAGTGGTTAAACTGATGTATATTAAAAAGTTGATTACCTTTTCAGGGCACAGTCTGGCTTTTCTGTGTTTATATCTGCCTATACCTACAGTAGAAGATATTGGGAACATGCTGAGTATTGTACGAAAGACCAACAAGAATGTTTTCATTGTTTGATCAGTTAATGCCAAATATGCAACTCTGAGGTTTCGTAAGAAGGTTTTAAAACTTGTTGACATCTCTTGATTCACCTTTTGATATACTTCTGCTTGTTAACTTCAGTTTTAGTGAAGGTAATATAAAGATTACTCCGGACAAGTTTTGACAGTACACTATGCTTTCCTGAAAGGCAGCCTCAGTTATAGCTCAGACTTAAGCATATTTTGAAACGAGTACTATAAGGCAAGTTGAAGATGAGATTAAAAACCTCCAGGGACCAGTTTCCACAGATGTATTTTCCTCAAAGCTCTCACTTCCAGTTTTCTAAGTAATGGAAACTTGGTGGTATCAATTGTGTTTCTTTCACAAGCAATACCATAAGTAGTTACAAAAACACAATGAAAAATATGTGCAGTGGGGCAAATTGGACATTGAAAAGTAAGCTTATAAACTCATTCAGAATCCCATTGCTCCTCTAAATCTTCCGCAGGGAGCTTAAAAATACATTTTCTCAGTCACAATAGTTCTGTGCTTCCAACCAGCATGATGTCAACAATACTAGCAGAGTCAATGCTTTTGCCTGGGGGGAAATTGCTCATTAAGCTCCCGTCAGAGGCCTTGCTTCTTATCATTGGGCGTGTTAAGGGACAAAATAAACATTCCAAGAAACATTCCCTTTCTGACTGGCTGGCCTTCCATCCCATTGTTCTATCATAAATAATTGTAGGAATGGTAAAGCTAATTGTTACTTATCAGAAACATCCTATTTGGATAACCTCTTTCCAGTGATTTATTCTGAAGAAGAGATGACCTTTTATTGAAGGTCGGGGCGATTGGCACTAGACTCATTGGACTTAGAACTTCCCAATTTCTGGGTTCAGTCGGCATCCCATGTCCTTGTGGGAGCTGGTAATCTGTTCACATATAATACTAAGCTAGCATGTAGGTTTTTTTGGCTCTCCAAATTTAACTAATGGAATTTGTAAATCATGATTAATGGTTAGGATGGGGGGGTGTTATGTAAGGGACTGATTGTTTCTACCTGTCTCACCCAGTGTAACAGGAGGAGCACACCCTGGATCTCCTCAACTAAAAATGCCATAACCCTAACCCTAACTCTGCCATCTGGAACACCATAACCTCTGAGGTTAAATTGATCCTGACCTTGCTGGCCTTTCTTAAAGCATTGAAGACCCAGATATGTTTCAGGGTTTGGGGTTTAGATGGTCTGTGAGATTTAATGTTCTTGTGCCATTAAGCTCTTATGGGGATTGTTCTCAACCCTCATTGATATTTTTTAAATATCTTGTTGATACTGTTTTTGCATTGTTTTAATGTTTTTATTCTGCATCTTGCAACTGCAATTTTAAATTGATTTATTATACATATACATATGCATACATTATACATATGCATACATGCATGCATATGTACATATACATACTGTATATATATGTACAGGTCTAGCTGTAAACTACCTAGCAGTTCTACCAACCTATGATACGGAGGGATCATTTTACAGGATTTTCTTACTACCAGGAAGCTTGTTTATGGGATCAGATGAAACTTCCTTTAAATAAGTTTCAGATTGCTCAAGCATGATTACCTGGATTTTTACAAGTTCAAAATGAAATTTTGATTTGAAAGCATAGTTGATTTTGTTCTTCAACCATGCTCTATTTTGATCTATTAAACTTCCTTCACATGTGCATGCAATATTCTGCTCTCTAGATAAAGGACAAAATTCAGGCCAAAATGTAGATGAAAACACAACTCTGAAAGGAAGAGGAAAGGTAGAAGTTTGTCTTTCTTCACAGGGTGTGCAGACAACGGCTCTGAAGAGCTAGCGTGCTGTTTCTACTTGAAAACTTTTCATTCTGCAGCTTTTATTTCTGTAGTCTAATAGTAAAGCCGACATATATTCCCAGATATATAGTCATCATTCATGTGCACATTTGTGAAACTAAATTTGTAAAATTTGCAAAGGAAACAGGAACTTATGAAACTATGTTTGTGATCTCTTTCCTGGAGACTGCTATAAGCTTGCCTCTGAAACAGCTTATTCATTTATTCACTTCACTGGAACAGCCTCCTTTCCTCCCGCCTCCCCCCCATAAGTACAGTGCCTTCCCTTTTGAGGTTCCAGAAAACTATTAAAACCTGGCTTTGGATCCAGGACTGGGATTCATGTATTGATGTATTTTGTGGGGCCTTATTGTGATTTGTGTTCCTTTTAAGGTTGTTTTAGTCCAGCCTGTCTGTGCAGTTTTATGTTTAATTGTTTTATTGAGGGTTTTTTTGGTTTTTTATGCCACCAAGGCTCTTTTGGATTTGGATTACTATAACCAATACATTAATAAATAAATAAAAATAAATAAATAAAAATAAAAATAAATTAAGGGACGCGGTGGCTCAGTGGCTAAGATTCTGAGCTTGTTGATAGAAAGGTCGGCAGTTCAGCGGTTCGAAACCCTAGTGCCACATAATGGGGTGAGCTCCTGTTACTTGTCCCAACTTCTGCCAACCTAGCAGTTCAAAAGTATGTAAAAAATGCAAGTAGAAAAATAGGGACCACCTTTGGTGGGAAGGTAACAGCGTTCCATGTGCCTTTGGCATTTAGTCATGCCAGCCACATGACCACAGAGACATCTTCAAACAGCTCTGTCTCTTCGGCTTTGAAATGGAGATGAGCACTGCCCCCTAGAGTCGGGAATGACTAGCACATATGTGCGAGGGGAACTTTTACCTTTATCTTTAACCAAAAAATAAATAATAAATATACCAACATGTACACAAAACACCCACATAATTTTTGATCAGCTTTCAGTTCAGTTCTTTTGAGTTGCGTAAGTAAAATCTGAGCAGTGTGTGAAATCTGTAAAATTCTACCCTAAGGATTATTAAATATTTAGATTGTTTTCTGGTTTTTTTCCTTAACCATTCTTTTTTCTTGACTGATTTCTAGGTATTAACCAAAGCACAGTTTTCTCCTGTGAAGCCCACAACATAAAGGGATTATCTTCATCTCGAACGGCTATTGTACAGATTAAAGGTGAGAAACCATTTCCTATCCTTCCACAGATGGAAACATAGAAAGAGGTTTATTCCCTCACAGGAAAAGGGAAAAAGTAGTCTAAACTAAGCTACAGTAATTTTTTTCTCTATGTTTTAAAACTGCTACACACAACCCTCACACATTACTTCTTAGCTGATTCTTCATGCTCTCAACAGATTAAATAATTTTTTTTGAAAAAATTCAATATATTTTTATTCAGGCCCATCCCTTTATCAGGAAAATTTGCTAATAAATATAAATCATCAGCAGCTCAAGAATGGAATGAGATACAAGGGAAGAAACCTTGTTTTAGCTTAGGAAGTCTAAGGTTAGAATATCAAAGGTCTTTTTGGAAGAAAAATTGTGCTGGAACCATAAAAATCAGGTGCAAGAATATGAGAAGATGGAATGAGTCAGAATGTCACAGCACAAACTCCAGTCTTTTGTTCTTGTGCCATGACATTATATATAGAAAGTCGATTATGTGGTTTGTGTCACGACATTGTAATGCGTGCTTCATCATTAGTCTCTCCTATGGATGCCTGTGATCATGACATTGTCTACAATGTGTAAATGAGAACAGCATCCTTTTTGGCAGGCACACTGTAGATTTGGTGTCTTGGCAGCCAAAGTGTCTCCCATCATCCTTTTGCTCAAATGAACTGGCTTTTCATGAGCTATTGAAAGCAGAAGGGTACAGGCCACTTAGAACAATTACATTTTAGGAAAACATTACTTTTATATCTTTCTATACTTTGCAGCACTAATCTTTCATTTAAAGCATAACAATGTTTTGCTTCTAAAGTAGTTTTTTCTCCTCCCACAATTTGTTCTCTTATTCAACAAGAAACTAAACGTGTAGGTTAAGAATAATTAATACTTTTGCAGGGCAAGGAAATATAATTGGGGCTTGACTGGCTGCATTCCTTGTTGTGCAAAATAGAATATATAAGGGTATATTGTTATGAATGAGTTGAATTAATGAGAAGAGTGGATTTTTTTTCTTTTTAAAAATAGCCTTATTGAAGTTTTTAATGAACAGAATACAAGCTAAACTAGAAGAAAAAAAGTTCAGAAGGTGCAGGAAAAAAAGAAAAATGCACCATAGATAAGAATAAAGACGAAGCTTCCAACCTTCATCACACTGCGTATAAGCTGATTTATTAACTTTTCACCCTTTTTTAATGTTACACATAACAAATTCTGTTCTCTCCATAACCTAATGTTTATAAATCCATAAATCATTTTTTTAATCTTAGTTCAGCAAATAGTTCATCATGAATTAACAGAAATATCAGACGAATAGCTTATCCCTGGCCAAATAGTGCAACTTTATATTCCTTCGTTTTGCTCTACTCAATATGGACGTTTAAATAATTCCTACAGCATCATAGGACTTGAGCTTTCATCATTCTTTGGCATCTGAAAGGAGTCTTCAAAGCTTTTACCAACCTACTTTGTAAATCCCAAAAAGCCGTTTTCCAAATTTTCCTGTAGCTGTCCCATGTCCAGATCTTTTTCCTGAGTTGTTTTTTGTATTTCCATATTGGTAATCTCAATTTTGTTGTTTTCCATGCCTTCAAACTCTACATTGTTTATGCAAATATTTAAAAAGTTTTTCTCATCATCTTCTAAAGGTTTTCATTGAAATCTGTTTCCTTTCTGACATTGGTTATTAATATTTTAGTCCATGGTTTTTTAAAAAAAACCTCTTTAAAATAAGAAAAGTTATAGCCTGCTTAGCCATTTTAACTCTTTTCTGCCTAATTCTTTAGTTCCCTCTACTGTTCATTGGCAACCCTCATCAAGCTTCGATTCCTAATATGGGTTTAGTTCTGTTTCAGTCATTTCCCATGGGTATATTATTTAATTACATACTTGTTTTTTTTCAAATCTTATAACTAAAATCATCAATGTTTCAAATGTCTCTGGTTTCCCAATCAGTTTAAATCTTTTTTAAATCAAAACTGCTTTTTTGGCTTTCTGCCAATTGTATATTATTTTAAATTCTTAAGACTCTGTTTAAAATTTCTTAAATGTAAAGGAAAAGAGAAAACTCACTAGGTATCAAACTAAACTCACCATTTTGAAAATCTCTAATTTCAATACGGTGGTTCACATTTTCAAATGTGATTAGAAAATGAGTTTTAACTGTCTTAGTGTCCTTATGGAAGGCTCTACCATGACTGTGGAGTTAAGATGTTGTCTCCCTTGGCTTAAAGCACATAAACTTGTGCGAGATCACTGTTTTTGGTCTCTGTATGAGGACCTGCCATTTAATGCACTCATGGACGATCTCTTGATCTCCCCTTTTCCAGAGAGATTTGAAGAACTGGTTTATCACTGGTCTTTCATTTTTCACAACAGTTTTCATCTTTACTGATTTGTGGATTTCAGTCAGCCATGGCTCACACCAGAAGCCAAAGGATCATATATGCAGCCATAGCTATCTTGTACAGAGTGACCCTGATCCATGATGGGGAATGTAATATCCAATGAAGGTTCAGGATTCTGAAAGTTGCTTTTCTCTTAGTCAAAGAATGTAATTGCTTTGGTACTCTTTTTGACAGGGATATGCAACCATTTTAAATTGGTGAGCACATTTAGACTCTAGAGAGCACGTTTTGGCTACTTGACAAAATGACCACTGTAACCTTGCTTAATCATGAAATGACTGTTGTGGTAGGAGAAGCCAGTCATAAAGCACTCTTTTATGCAATCATCCCTATTTTTATATGGGTGATGCTGAAAGCTGGCATTTTGCTTTACAGTGCACCACCTTTAGTCTTTCTTTAGTCTTTATTTGATTTATATACCGCCCTACTCCCAAAGGACTCAGGGTGGTGAACAGCCAAACAATAAAATACATAAATACAAAATTTAAAATACAGAATAAAACCAAATTAAACAAATTTGGCCCAGACAGATTTAAAACACCCCAATCATTTAAAAACAAATTAAAATTTATGTATTAAAAAAGAAGGGGAAAAAAGATTAGGCCAGGCCCGCCTGATGGAATAAAAAGGTCTTGAGAGCGCAGTGGAAGGTGCGCAGATCCGGGATCCTCCGTATCTCCAGGGGGAGCTCATTCCAGATAGTAGGTGCCCCCACAGAGAAGGCTCTCCCCCTGGGGGCCGCCAGTCGACATTGTTTGGCCGACGGCACCCGGAGAACCCCCCTCTCTATGAGAGCGTACCGGTTGATGGGAGGCTATTGGTGGTAGTAGGTGGTCCCGTAAGTAACCAGATCCTAAGCCACCTTCTGATAGATAGACAGGTAAATAGGTAGGTAAGTAGATACAGACAGACAGACAAGACAAGACAAGTGAGACAGGAAGCCGGGGGTGGGGTACCATAGATATTTATTTATTTATTTATTTATTTATTTTATTTTATTCGGCTTATATGCCGCCCTATCTCACAATGGACTCAGGGCGGCTCACAACAATAAAACACAAGCCACAATAAAAATAAAGACTAAAATCTAAAAAAATTAAAATTAACCCATTAAAACCCTTAAAACCCCATCCTCAGACCAGGTCAAGGGATTTGAAAAGCCAAGTTTTACATTGTTTTTCTAAATTTGTAGCTGGAATAAATGTTGCCAAATATAAAGTGTGGAGTACAGATATTCCTTGCTTAGCAACTGGTCGTTACCATTTCCAGTTTTTTTTTTTTTTTAATTTGATTTATATGCCGCCCTTCTCCGGAGACTCAGGGCGGCTTACAATGCGTTAAGCGTTAACCTATCTTAGAAAGGATGGAAGGCTGAGTCAACCTTGAGCCTGGTAAGATTCGAACCTGCAGTAATTGCAGGCAGCTGTGTTAATAACAGGGTGCTTTAGACCACTGTGCTACCAAGGCTCTTACTCCAATGGTGCTTTTTCAAGAGACAACATGAAAGAGACAACTGGACTTGTCTCAGACCTGGAGAAGCTTCTTAGAGAAGAAGTGAAACATCTTCAAAGAAAAACAAGAATGCCCAGTTGCCTCTTGAAAAAGCACCTTTGAAACAACCATAACCTGGATGACTGAGAATCTCCATAGACATTCCCAGTTACAACAATGATGAAATAGTAACTTTGAAACCAACACCCAGATTTATGACGTTCCAGGTCTGTAAAGAAAAGGAAAGCTGAAGTAAGATCATAAGCACAGGCCCAACTTTGTTTAATGACTGGGTTGTTGTCCCAGTTATGATCGCTAAATGAGGACATCTCTTGGTAGAAAGATACTAGCATTTCTTGTGCACCAATCTAGTCATGTTTTTTCAGATCAAATGGGGTTGATTTATGTGAAATGTCTTCACCAAAAACATTTCTAGTAGTCATTGCCATCAATGATCCAACTCTTATAAACTTAATCAAGGAGAGAAGCAACCTAGAATTAAGGAAAAATTTCCTGACAGTTAGAACAATTAATCGGTGGAACAACATGCCTCCAGAAGTTGTGAATGCTCCAACACTGGAAGTTTTTAAGAAGATATTAGATAACCATTTGTCTGAAGTGGTGTAGGGTTTCCTGCTTAAGCAGGTGGTTGAACTAGAAGACTTCCAAGGTCCCTTCCAACTCTGTTATTCTGTTTTCTGTTTTTCTCATACTGGTAGTTCTCACTTAATTATCAGTTGCCTAAAGAATGTTCAAAGTTCCAACAGACCCCCCAAAAGTTACTTATAACCCTTCCTCAGAGTTATGACTGCCACACACCCCACATCCCTCCCAGGGCGGGGGGTGGGTCAGATGTCAAGCATTTGGCACCTGACTTGCATTTACTGCAGTGCAGTTGCAGTGTCCTGTGGTTATGTGACTACGATTTGCAACTTTTTTCTGGTTTCTACCATTTTTTTTGCCAGAAATTGGCAAAAACCACCTATTTGGGAGAATGGATTTGCTTAACAGTCACATGATTCATGCAACTACTGCAGTGACTGTTGTAAATATAGTCCTAAAATACTACTCAAGACAGGGGGTGACCTGCTTAGCTACTACAACAACTTG